CAAAGACAGAACTGATGAACTGGACTTAAGTTACGCTACACAAGGACAGAACTGATGAACTGGACTTAAGTTACGCTACACAAGGACAGAACTGATGAACTGGACTTAAATACGCTACACAAGGACAGAACTGATGAACTGGACTTAAGTTATGCTACACAAGGACAGAACTGATGAACTGGACTTAAGTTACGCTACACAAAGACAGAACTGATGAACTGGACTTAAGTTATGCTACACAAGGACAGAACTGATGAACTGGACTTAAGTTATGCTACACAAGGACAGAACTGATGAACTGGACTTAAGTTACGTTACACAAAGACAGAACTGATGAACTGGACTTAAGTTATGCTACACAAGGACAGAACTGATGAACTGCACTTAAGTTACGCTACACAAGGACAGAACTGATGAACTGGACTTAAGTTACGCTACACAAGGACAGAACTGATGAACTGGACTTAAGTTATGCTACACAAAGACAGAACTGATGAACTGGACTTAAGTTACGCTACACAAGGACAGAACTGATGAACTGGACTTAAGTTATGCTACACAAAGACAGAACTGATGAACTGGACTTAAGTTACGCTACACAAGGACAGAACTGATGAACTGGACTTAAGTTCATTAAGACTTAGATTTTTTTGACAATTTTGAATGAAATTGCATTAATTAAATTAATAAAAAAATGTAAAAAATTAAATTTGTGGTAAATGTGTTCATGCTCAGTTTAGGACGCAGAGCTATTAGAGAATACGTATAACATCCGAGGCTGTATATTGCATGCGTCCAAACCTCTAGACCTTCTAAGGACACATCTAACATATTTAGAATGTTTGCTGACCAAAGTGCCTTTCCTGGTCAAGCCCCCCACCACTTTCGAGCTGCTTCCGCGGCCTCTGGCTGTCTTAATAAATACTGTACCTGTCCAATAATAAACCCAGTGGTCCCACGAAATATGGGGGGGAGGGGGGCGGGCGAAATTTTCAACATGTATGGCAAAGGGGTTTCGATGCCTGTTTAAGGCTCACTTGATTATTGTATACGTTAATTGTGATATTTGGTACCAGACTTTTATAGGTCTTTCCAAGACTTTTATAGGTTTCCCCCTGGCCTGCCTAGTGTCCGACACTGAATAACCCATGCACTGTAGTGAAAATAGTGGGCTTATACACTAGGGGCTTATAGTCAGGGGAGGGAGGCTAAAATTCTGAGGTTTACGGTAAACGTAAATTTACACAATGACATCACTTACACTCATATCAAGTTGTTCTAATGGGACTGCTTCTTCTGCTAAAACTTGTAGTGAGGAATCTTCATTGATTGTCACTGTTCCACTGCTTACTGTAGAGAAATGCAATATTCTATTATAATTTCTTTCATAATGATTACAGTCTTGATATATAAGCATCAATCATTAGCACATGCATGTTATTATAACTCAAAACTGAAACTATAAACATTCTTTAGACTGGATTGATTTTATTTTAACTAAACTGCCTAGAAAGCCAGTGTACCCTCGTTGGTTCAGTGTTACTACAGAAGGAATCCAGACAAAAAAGTGTTTAAACTAAACTGGTTAAGGTACACTGTAAATCTCTCTCTCACCTGGAACAAAATAGGTTGTGCTGAAGCATGTGACAGTGATTGCAGTTCATAAAGTTTAAGAACTTAGTTTAAGAAGTATGCCAATACAATATTGTTCCCAAGACAATTTCAAATTGTTATGCCTACCAAAATATTTCTTAGTTCCTTCATCTTCAAAGACAGTGACAACACCAGGTCTTAATACTGCTAATGTTGGAACATGATTTGGAAGAATACCAAATGTTCCTGTACCAGATGGAACATCAACTTGTTTCACATCAACATTGTGGTAATATGCCTGAAAAACAACTACAGTTAATGCACATGATTTTGAATTATAATACAGAGAAAAATCAATTACCCATCATTCCACAAAACATTTACACCGGGCCTCGAATTTCCCTGAAATCAATCGACGGCAATGGAGTTAAAAATTGCCGTAGAACGTAACAGCTGTCTACGGCAATTTTGGCAGTTTCCACAGCATTTTTTCAAATTAATAAAAATTTAAGTTTATTGTTACTTTGGATTGTTGACAAGCTAGAAACATGTTTACGTATTTCTTTAAGTGTGTTTTTTTTCGAAGAAAACTGAGACTAAAATAGTAATTTACGCAATTGATTTGATCAACATCTGAATTCAAGTATCAAAATAGTAATGCACAGTGAATATAGTATAAAAATTACACTATACGGCAAAAAATTGCCGTCGTTGCCACAATAACCCGCGGCATTTTGTTCTCCTACGGCAATTGTCGCGATTGCCGTGATAAAATTCGAGCCCTGATTTACACCTTTCCTCATTCACCCTAACCTGTCCCTTTCTTTGCCGTTTACTAAACCAGAGGCAGAGCCTAATTAAACTGACAATATAGAAACTTTGGATGTATAAATGTTGATCTATATACAGTATATATCACGCCAAGTTAAACATGATTGTCTAACGTTTTTATAATTATATATTATGCAGATGAGTTTTTTTGTAGATGAACATCTACTAAAAACCCATCTGCATTCAGTTTTATTGAACAAGATTGCAGAATCATGTATAATCTGGCCTCATTTGTTAGTGGGGGTGGGGGGTGGGGGGGGGGTGGAGGTTATCTAGAGGGGAGGGGTGCATTACTACATTTTAAAAAAATAAGAACTCTGAATTTTGGCAGCAATGGCACCTCATAGTGGAGGGGCCGTCAAGAAAAAGTCCTATGGAGGTGAACTGGAAAATGCACATGGCCCCCAGAAAATGTTTGTATTCCTGAGCCTCTGGGGCTTGATTTTTGGCATTTTTAGACACAATTTTTTATATATTTCACCTACTAGACAAAACTTCAGTAATTGGAATACTAAAACAATTTCTTAACTAAGTTATTCTTCCCCTTAGATAAAAGCACTTTCACAGTTTCACTAAATGGACCAACCTGGTTCACCAGATGGGCCAACAGTAATGGGGCTACTGTAGGATGAGGGAAGGAACTTGGCCCCCGCCCACCAATCTATAGGGTTAAAAGAGGCCCTGCTGAAGCAGGTTAAAAAACTCTGGTTTGCCATCATAAACAGCAGGAAGACAATGTTTAAAACTCCCATGGGATTGTGATTATTGATTTCTTTTCCAGAGTATTACAATTTCATTGTATAGAATACCAGGGTGCATTCCATGTAAACTCTACAGCAGAGATATGCCAACATTTCTTTTGGAGACTAAAACCCATGTCAAAATAAACAATCCTACATGTGCTTGTAATTAATACATAACTGTAAAGTAATCTCACACAAATATACCGCCTAATATATATAACGCCTTTGAGTAATCTCATGCCAATACACCAACAAATTTATAACCTCGTGCACAGGACCAGATTGCAGAGTTGGTTGCGACATTTTTTAGGTTAATTAAAATTTCAGCGCAACTGGGGTGTACTTTATAACAATTCTTGCAATTTAATCTGCGCTCAAATCTTTATTTTCATTGTTTTAAACATGTATCTGGCTACTTTTGTGCCTTTGAATGCAGGGCCTTTTTTAACATACAAGCTGGGGGGTGGCAGGCAAATGCCCCCCCTCTTTGTGCCCCCCACAAAATCATATACAAATATACTAAATCTATACAAACAAACCAGTGAAGAAAAACATATACATAAACGGAAAGTAAGTTTTAGGCTTTATCCTTTGTCCTTGTTTAACAAAATCGATTTAAATTGTTACGTTTTTCCGCCACTAAGTAATGATAAATTATTGTTAATAATTATTTTATTTTTTGTGCGTTTTTTCCTTCTTTTATTTCAAATACAAGTATGGTTAGCATAAATTTTAGCGCAAATTTGGATGCTCAGAATGCAGGAAATGGCATTTCTGGGTCACAAATTTCAAAAATTTTCTGGGGGAGTATGCCCCCACACACATGACCTTTGGCCATTGCTATCCTCTTCTAATAAGTAATGATGAATTATGGTTAATATTTTTTTACTTTTTGTGCATTTTTTCCTTCTTTTATTTCAAATATGTACAAGTATATATTTAGCATAAATTTTGGAGCAAATTTGAATGCTCAGAATGCAGGAAATGGCATTTCCGTGCTTCAAATTTCAAAAACTTTCTGGGGAGTATGCCCCCAAAACCCCCTATTCATGCGTGGTATGTTGGCCACACATGTCTGTTTCTATTCCCCTGTAATATATTATCTCACAGAAAGGTCCCTTTTCAAAAAATCCCACGGGAAAATCCTTAAAAAAGGCCCTGTAATTGAATGCATCTTGATGTGCACTTGGAAACTGTTTTGCACACCTGCACTTCGATTTTCTAACATTTGCGCACCCAAAATCTCATTGAAAAGTGCCCAATTCTGCAGTCTGGATGCAGGAGATCTCCATGTGGGATTAATACACCCTGGGAATAATATCAGGTCATTACAATATGTTGGCGTTGCCGTCCCATTTTCTCAAAGTTATTTGCTATTACGTGCTATTTACGTTATAAAATCGAACATTCATGATCCAATGTATCACTGATCACTGATGTATCATATATGTACATGTTATATAGTTATAGTGGTATTTTCACTAAAATCTATCTAAGTATTTACCGTTTGGGGTGACCCAAAAGTTAGTGGCATTGTTGCTCCTCCTGCCTCGCTTGCTAGACATCTTATAGCGACGTTAAAACGCTGGGAGACTAAACTTTTTGAGGTCTTTCTCAATAATCTGGTCGCCATTTTTGAGCAGAGTACAATTTTCCCACCATGCATTGCGATGTCGTAATCCGTTCGGTTTTTTACGTCAAGCAATCGGAACAAATCGAACCACTGCCACTGAGCTCATATAATTTATACATCACTGTTCAATGTTCATGACTCATGTGGGTATTTGCGTTGTTTATATTGTATAGATCATTTTATTTATCAATTGCATTTAACTGATAAACATTTTTCACACAGTTTATTGAAAATGAGTAAGAATTTCCAGAAAGATTTTCCTCCAATGAAAAATGATTTAATACTTCGTGCAGCCAGAGGTGAGACGACGGAACGTGTTCCAGTATGGATCATGAGACAAGCAGGGAGATATTTGCCAGGTGGGAATACTACAAGTATTAAATTATTGCGCTATAATGCTGTTTGATTTTTCCTACGTGGTGTAAAAGTATATACGAAGTATTTTAGAATTAATATTATGTAAGTTGATTATGTAATATAATTTGATGCCTGATTTGTTCAATCAATCAGAGACTTTGATTTTAACATGACATGACCATAGTATTAATATTTATAATACTATTAAACCCTGAAACATTTTCTGAATCCCATGGATATATCTCCTGCTTCCAAATTAAATCCTATCTGCAGGGTTGAGGGGGCAAATGGTTAAATTTGGTTAAAAAAGAGAGTTAACATTTGCAGTAAAAATTTTACACATGGATCCTAGCCTGATAAATTTTATTTCTATTTTTATAATATGAATTTTAATACACATGCCCTTGAAAAAATTTCTGCATATTTTTACATGGCCCACCTTTATGATTACAATTAACTTTTGATGACCCACCCCTTCAACTATGCTCAAAAATAGTGACCCACCCCCCTATTTTTCCCAGCCCCCCCCCCTTTTACTTTATAACTGGTCCCTAAAATATGTATACCAGTAGGTAATAGTATGGTTTTGAGTGCAATTTGGAAATAAACATGCACAAGTGAGTTTTTCAAAGACTATCAAAATTACACAAGTCTGAAGGAGGAGTGCAATTTGAAGTCGTTGAAAAACTCACAAGTTGTATGTTTTTTTTTCAAATTGCATGAGAAACCATACTATTTAATACGTAATATATGAACAACGAGAGCGAGTGTTTCACCGGGATATCCAAACACGAGAAAACAATGTAAGAAAACACGAGCGCGAAGCGCGAGTGTTTTCATACATTGTTTTCGAGTGTTTGGATATCCCGGTGAGACACGAGCTCGAGTTGTTTATATGACTTCTCAAATGAATTGAGACGTAACGGAATGTTTTCGTTTGCTGATTTGAATAGAATTCTTAACCAAGCATAACGTAATTAGGAATTCTATTCAAGTAATTTTGCATGTGTAATTAAGATATATGATGAAAACACTAGTGACTTTCATCAAGTTTCACCGGGTTATCCAAATGGCATCTTGTGATCAAACAGGTGATTATCATTGGCTGAATTGCTCATGAATTATTAATGAATTTGAGAATTATTGATAATATATTACATGAAAAAATTAAGCAGTCACATGCGTAAGTCACATTAAGAAAAAATTATTAAAAAATTTGAAAAGTAAAAAATTAAGAAATTATAATTTGCACTGTATTTATTTTTTTGTATTGTAATTTATTTTTTGGCACTGTATTTCGAAAAAATTGCACTGCTTTTAGCCAGTCAGAAATTTTGAGAAATTTTTTCATGTATATTATTAGACTAGTATAGAAACCAGTTAAATATTCTCCTAGAATGTAGAAATCTGCTATTCCAGGGACGCTAGGTTTCAAACTTTTTCTGGGGAAGGAAACCGGCCCAAGACCCCTAAGCGTTTCAGATACCAAAATATACCATTGAAAATTTAAACATTCCAAACTAGCCAGCTGAGCATTGGCCATATTTGGGGGCAGAGCTTACTGGGTGGGCTAACCTGCAATCAAGTTCATGTCAAAAATTGCCATTGCAGCTGAAAAACAATAAAATTTCTAATGCAGCAGACCTCACATCTAGTCCTGGCAAAGCTGGATCATGTAAACAGCCTAATAATAGAAAGATATTTTGTTTTTGGGGGCTGTATATGGCCTGTAGAGCCCCGTGCTGACATCATTGGCAGTCTCCACTGACTTTGACAGTTTGGATGTTCAGTAACTAAAAACAGGTCCACACTTTATTGTCTTTTAACTGCATCTAAATTAATAAATTTACAATCATGTTGATATCAACACCAAGAAACTGTCTATCAGAAGCATACTTCTAAGTTGTACATCTCAGTTATGTACAGTCTGTATTGTACAAACCATTATTTTGGAACAAAAAGATAAGTGTTTTCTGCAACTGACGACAAAAAATTGTCCGAGCACTGAAGTGTCCATAATGAAGATCAGGTTGAGTTTATGGTGTCCCTTGTCTGTGTTAGCTACTGTAGGATGGTCTGTGCCATAGAGTTTTTTAATTTATGCACAATTTTGTCCAAATTAGACTGTAGGTTCAAAAGTAGTTTCATGCATTTTTGTATAATGAAGGAAAATAGCATATCATATGTGCTTAACATGTATACTACTATAATTAAAGGCTCAAGTCCCTTGAAACTGATTGTAGATCTTAACTGTATCTTAAAAGGTTTATAAAACAATAGAATATAGATAATTATATTTAATTAAGAAGTGAAATTTTTCAAACCAATTTTGAGATATAAACTTTCACACATACTTTATACATGTATATATTACACAAGAAGAAAATGATACAAATACTATTTTTGGAAGTAGAGATTATAACAGATTGCAGTGGTATGAAGGATATATAACTACCTGAAAATTTTAGCAAAATTTTGCAATATTTTCAAAAATATAAGCAATATTTTTAAAATTCAGGTCACTGTATAACCTTGTTTATTCCATGTACTCTGTAATATATGATGATAACTCAATCTTAAAGAGTATTCTTTTATCTAAAAGAATCTGTACAATCTTTGATATGGTATCCCTTCGAGTGTGCAAACGTTTCAAATACGCTGAGTAGAACTGCAGTAAAGTAACATATTGACATTACTCCCACTAATGTAACAGCGAGAAGATGAAGTTTCCAATGATTATACCATACTTCAGCAAGCTGTGTCTTATGCAAGTGAATATGAAGTAATAGTGATAAACAGTTTGCAAGAAAACTGATCCCAATTCCAATAAATACTCTTTTCATAAAATATTCTTCCAGAATCTCGCGTGGTTGGACATGGTAGTTACCTGCTAAATATAATACCAAATAAGCTTGACTCAATATTATAGCTATACTCTGATAAAGCATAATCTGAATTTCCTTGTCAACTTTTAAATGGCGGTGATCACTTGATTCCTCTAATTCTCCAAGTTGTGGGCACGATGTGCATTTACGTTCAAGACATTTCCAAATTCCAGTGACGATTTTTTGTCTTATTTTGACTGTTGCTGTTTGGAAGACTTGTAATGCGCCACGGAATAACGAAAGGGCAATAAAAAGCCACAGATTGCTCACTCCAGCTTGCATTATACAGTATAACAATATACTAACACCATTGACAAAGTATACCAAGACAAAAATGCGACCGGCATCAGTAAATGGTAAACTTTCCAATGCCAAATTTTCTGATATTACCATTGGTAGAAGAATTAGTATTGGTGTAATCATGGCAATTATTGCTCGCAATATGTCGTCCTTTGTATTACGAAACGATGGCACAAACCCATATCTATATGCCATTGCGATTAGAAACCCAAGAAAGAATTGAGTTGAAACAATGGCAAAGACTTTTCGTTTCTTCAAGCGCCTGGTATCGGAGGAAAATTCTTTACATACATTTTTAGCCACAAGGTAACTGGAGTAGATCACTCCAAAGAGAAAAACTGCATTATCTGGGTATCTATACTTCGTTTGAGTGAAGTCTATATGCACTAGAAACAAAGTTGTTTTGTATATCACAACGGTCGAACCAAGAACAAAACCCAACAGCAAAGTGGAAGAGTAATGTGATTTGAATTCTTTCCAACCAAATAGCAAGATTAACATTGATTGAAACCAGAAATTTAGAGCCATACCTTCAATATCATGTCCAGTAATTACGTATTTTTTTACTTCTTGAGGCAATGATTTATTTTCCATCAGCTGCTGGTTACAAATATTGGAGGTATTTACATCGATATATAACACCGAAATCATTACCAGACTAACAGGAATGACAGCAACAGTTATTGTTAAACTTATCCACAAACTTGTCTTACAAGAACTGAACAATGTTCTTGGTTGTTGATTTGGAGCAGGGATAGAAATGGCGCCATAGAGTGTATTTGTGTTGCCTTGTTGGCCATTGTTTTCGTTTGGTGCTATATTAATCTCTTCTGCCACTGTTAAGTCTTTAATTTTGGCAGTGGTTGGTAAATATTGGTGATGGGCACCTTTGCCTGTTTTGATTGCTTCCTTCGACCTTGATACATTTTCTGGGCAACTCGTTCTAATGTTAACAGTCTCTAAGGCTGTGTTATGTGACGAACTCGCTTCAGACTCAGGCACGTTTCTGTCAGTCTCGTTCAAATCTTCGCTTTCATACAGGCTAGTTTGAGGTCCAGACGCGTGTTGAACTAACTGTCGCGCAGCTTCTGAAGTGAAGAGAGACGCAAACACAATAGCAATCTTATCTACGAATTCTTGTAGCATACCTCAACGTTGTTTTACACACACCAACACTTGTTCATCACTTGCTGTATACCCAATATGAACATTTTTGTGGAAAGTATACGAGAAGGTTGTTTGGATAGTATCAAGGACCATAGAACAACATCAGACAAAATACTGTAATTTAATATTGTAACATTTGATGATGCTTACGTTGTCGTCATGCAGTAGAGTTTACAAGCAAAAATACTCTGTTGTATAATATCCATGTTTAACAGTACAAACATTGTAGTGTTTGCATGTGTTGTTTGTTATTAAAGTAAAGTATATAAAATGTAAACAATCTTCTCCTATTTTGTGTTTTCCTGGCACTGTTATTAGAAGAATATAAGTCATTTCTAAGAATTACGTCATTACTGACTTGCGGGAATTATGTCTCGTGACTGGTATGAGAAGACATATTTTCATTATATAATTACCTTAATTAAACTGTATTGTCAACATAAATTTAATTCCAGCAGATTGTTAATCCGCATATTCCATAAACTTAGTAGATCTTTCAACCCACGTCTAATAATCAATTTCCCAGAAAAACGAAAAGTAATGTACGCTCGTACCAAATATTATGACACTTTATAATTATTAACATGGATTTTAACTTGTGGTCAGTCTCGAGGTATATTCTCTGACAAAAGCGAAACCGTACGAGGATTTCCGTGATTTCCATGGCCAGAAATTACGGACATTGATTCTGAGCATGTGCGAACTTTGACAAACAAAATGGCGGATTTGTTATATATAAATCATTAGGAGTGGTGCGGTTTTTTTAAATTTAAACTTGTTTGATAATAGCTATGTCATTTGCAGACTTCGCAATAATATAAACTATATCTGGACCGTAAAACAGAAAAGTTTCGCATCGGAATCTTACCTATAAGTTGTTCCATTATTCAAGTTCACTTCATAGTACATCGGCGTATAATAAAGTATAGTAAAACTTGAGAAAATCGTTCAAAACGTACACTTTGCTCTGGCCGCATGTATCCCTCGAACCCTTCATGAAATTTGCAGACTTCGCGTCGTAAAATATATGTTATCCCCTGCTTGTCTGCATAATTTCATAGTGATACGATTTTTTTAACTTGTTCCAATTTACGGAACAAAATGTTGATATTTTACCCATAAATACCCTGTCAATAGGCCGTAAAACATTGCAAGAAGAACGATGTTTCATGAATTGTCGTCCATGTTTGATATCAACAAGAAGCTTAGGAACCAGGCTTTCTTCCAGTGTGGGCTACACGGAGGGATAGCGATGTATACACAAAATATTTGAGTCGTTTACCATGCGCATCACTTTATATCCCATCATAATAAATGAAAGGTATGTAAAAGGCGGTCAATACCTAATATATGTATTTTTCTGCTTTAGTTAAACAAAAAACTAAGCCAAATGTATTTTTTTAGTTAAAACTTGCGTTTGTTAGGTATGAATAACTTTTCATAGGGAAAACCGCTGAGATATATTGCGGGCGCATGTCCTGAATTTCTGGCCATGAAAACATAACGACTAGGCATTTTGCGAAATTTTTGGGTCTATTTGGAAACCTTTGGGATTTGAAAAGGGACTTGATAGTGGGTTATTCCCGTATGCGTATCATATTTATTATTCTTGAATATATCTATATGAGGATGGTTTAACATTGTTATTGTGCATGCAGGATTGTTGGATTGTCATGTAGTGCACATATAAGGTCGTCTTATATTCATTTCAATGGGTCATGCCAGATGGTTGTATTATATACGTACAAGGTCTGTCACATGGTGACATGTGGTGTAAGATTGTCATTTGTCAGGTTGTCGTATGGTGCGAAATCATGTCAGAACGTACAAGGCTATCTCAGACGGTGAAGATGGTGTACGTTTTCTCAGCCGATAATGGTGTGGTGTGAGATCGTGTCAGATGGGTGCACTGTACATATACACAATTTGTCGGACATGTGGTGTAAGGTCTAGTCGGATGTACATAGAAGGGAATTTTAAGCTTTTAAAGAAGTAAAGAACTAATTATATTTAACCTATTTAACTAATTAACTTATTTTGATTCTGGTATTATATTTATTAATAACAAATATTGAAAAACTCAATAATTCATAAGGAAAATACAAAAGAAATGAATGTTTAATCAATGTTTGTAAATCGGATAAAGATTTGTCCTGATTTACATAAACTTTAGCTTTGATTTTCTCGGACTAAACAATGTTTATTTTTAAAATTACTTCGCCAATGAACTCATACGATGCCGATTGGTCGTTTTTTAAGCACGTTAAAACATTCGCATCCGATCTTTACCTGATATACAAACTCTCGCCTTCGGCTCGAGTTTGTATATCAGATAAAGATCGGCTGCTCATGTTTTATCTAGTACTAAAACATTTTCCGTGTTGATATACAGTTATATCAACACGAGTGGAAATTGGGAAAACGAGAAATTGTGTGGAAACACGACGCCCGGAGGTCGGAGTGTTTTCACACAATTTCGAGAAATTGGGAAAACTCGAAATTGTGTGAAAAACACTCCGCCCTCCGGGCGTCGTGTTTCCACACGATTTCTCGTTTTTCCAATTTCCACTCGTGTTGATATAACCATATATCAACTCGGAAAATGTTTTATATTTGTTAAATATAAACATTCTTGTATATTTGCTTCTATAAAGACTCCTGCATGTATCTCTTTGACATATACATATTATACACCTTGTTATTTAATATTTCTATCATTCCTGACTTCACTCTAGCCGAAACGTGTAGATAAAGAATTTTGACTTACGCTCTTTGCAGTTACTATTACATGAAAGATATAAACTAGAAATTTATGGCTTGAACATTTCAGTCTTCAACTAATTTGTTTGTATCTTTTAGAGTTTCTTAAGTTTAAGGAAGAGCATGGTAATGATTTTTTCCACATCGTCCAAACACCAAACCTCGCCTGTGAAATCACACTTCAGGTATTTACCCTCCACGACAAGAGTGGAGTTATTGTTTTATTTTCTGTGGCAGCTGTTCATGTACATATTATGGTGCATGCCCACCACAACAATACCCTGCCGCAAAATGTGAGTCACAAAATAAAAATCGTTTATTGTGCAACTTCTTTTGCCAGATGATTTGTCCTAATACTCTTCGTTTACTTACACGTTTTGTACGGAGAGCATGAGCTCTTTCATATTAGGAATTTAGTTTCCTCTTGCTGTTTATATCCTCCCTGTATATGTCGTGTTTATTTGTATGTTACATAATTTGTTGAACATGGAAAGATTTAATCAATCAATAATTGAATCAATATTCTCGTGCCTTCAACACAATCTCTATTAGTGTTATATCTCTGATAGCCGATGTCACAAAGCGTTCTCGATTTTATATATCATATACCTAGCTGGCCGCGATCATCCAGATTTTTACGCACTTTTACTGTTCTTTATTTCTAGCCTATACGACGGTTTGATTTGGATGCTGCTATAATATTTTCTGATATTTTAGTGATTCCGCAGGTATCTACTGTATAAGCAATAAGGAGAATATTTAAATATCTTATTTAATCAATCGTGATTCATTTTATACGTATTGTAGAATTCAGCTGCGTCTTTCAAAAATGAAGTTTGGATAATTTTTAATGTTTCTTTTGTTTCCAGGCTCTTGGCATGACATGTGAAATGGTCAAGGGAAAAGTAAGTTATATAACAAACATACTTGCAGGGAGGTGAGTCCGGGATTGGACGCACCGAAGGTGGCTGGAAGTTTCCCGAACTCACTGAGCGAAGCGAGGTGGGTTCGGGAAACTTCCAGCCACCCGAGGTGCGTCCAATCGCGGACTCACCGAACCTGCAAGTATATGTTTGGTTTTTATCACATGCCATTTCGGTAAAAAATACTAAAGAATTTACGCATTTTAGTATATAATTTCTTGTTTGCAGATAACGAACATTTTAGCCGTCAATATACTACGCAAACAAACAAACTTAAGCTTAAATTGAAGCTAAAACAATTCTCTGCAATACTCCCTTATTCTTGAAAAGAGAGAATGCACACATTCTGCGAAGACATTGCCAAGATTTATATAAACCTGCCCGTGCCGAACAAATTTCGGCGGCCATCTTTCTTCTCTTCCACTTTGAATGCAGAATTAACATTCCATTTTCATCAAACAAAATAAAAAAATAATAATTATAAAACAATTAAAAACAGTTAATTTATATTTTATTTAAATCTTCGTCGGAAATTTGTTGAAATCGCTTCATAATGGTCGCCGCCGAAACATCGATCTCGAACCCACCTCCTGAACATACGTCAGCAGGTGGGTTCGAGATTGAACGCACCTCCTCGTAGCCAATAGGAAAGCCGCTAATACGCTAGGTATGAGATAAATATATAGACACTTGCCAGGTGGGGCGGACTTGAAAGCTTTCCCGAATTTATGACAGAGTGTAATGAAATGACCTGAATTTAAAATATTTTCTGTTACATTTGCCCATATTTCCATGATTTTCTAATTTATGTTGAGTTGTCCTGCCCCCTGTCTCGCACGCCAATGACGTGTTTGTCAGTGCAGTAGAGCCCGGCATAGAGATGACTGACTACTTACTACTTGAATACTTTCTTCGCCTTGTCAAATTGCCAAGAATACATTTTCGCTGTTGGGTACGAGCAAAGAAAACTACATTCAAAGAAAAGGGCATTAAAAATTAGGCATTCACCAATCCATTTTTTACACATTCGAGTATTTTAATTAACACAAAAAATAATTTATAGGGACCTCATTTTCCAGAACCTTTGAGAGAACCTGAAGATATTAAGGTTGGTTGACATACAATAACGTATTTTATATATGCAACTCAAGCGACAAAAAATTGTAAACATGTAGATTGAAGCTGACAAATAATTCTCTTCACTTTCTTATTCCTAATTTTGAAAATAGGGATTATTATTACGATTATCATTATCATTATTATTCTCTTTATTATTATTATTATTATTATTATTATTATTATTATTATTACTATTATTATTGCTATTATTATTATTATTATCATATTATATTATTTCTGTTTTCCATATTCATGAGAATGCCAGTAATATTAGGCGAAGTTGCTGCTGTGCATGCTGCTGCATCTGCTCTTCCTACTGATGTTGTTTGTTGTTGTTTGTTGTTATTGTTGTTGTTGTTTGTGATTAATATGACTCGCGAAGGAATCTGCAGTATATTCAAATAAATCTGAGTTACCATCAACTTTAAAAGTTCTGCGGTTCTGTGGTGAATTTGTAGAAAAATTTGAATTATATAGAACAGTAAATGTATTTTCTGTGCATGCTCTATAATTTTACCCCTGTACCAATCTGTACCACGCTCGACAATTAGTGGTGACCAGGGCGCTTATATATATAAGGGCCCTGGTGGTGACACTAAGGTATAATTGCTATAATTGGTATGAATTTGTTAACAGTCCGTTTATTTCATTTCATTCAGAAACTGAACGAAAATGTAGTAGTTGAAGAAACATTAGGTTATCTCATGGATGCAATAACTCTAACAAGACACAAACTGGAAGGAAAAGTGCCGTTAATTGGATTTTCTGGAGCACCAGTAAGTTGTATAATTGCTTTCGGCATTTCGACTTCGATTGGCCATGAGCCTTTTCTACTAAATATATACTATTATCGTATTAATATTAATACTACTCAATAAAGTGTACACAAAGATGATTCTGCAATTTCATCACCAGCATAGTTTCGTGTAATTCTGAACAACAGTCCAAAAATCTGTAGTCCAGCTGCAAAATTCAGCAATCGGATGAGTATACGTTTTTGCCATCACAATGAATCAACCAAAACCATTAATGAGCTACATGTAATACATACGTTAATAAAACACGACTTGTAACAAACCTGTACACTGCAGCCGATTTACGTCAATAACAAACCTGTTTTCAATTTCTAGATCAGTGGTTTTAACACGTCAATATAGAGATTCAGTTTTGAGTTCCAGTACCGCTGCCACTACCCCTAACTGGCTTTGTACCTGATTGGTTAGTCGAATATATTAAACGCATCTGATTGGTTGATGGTCTCTTAATGGTCCCTTAATGGTCCCAATAACGGTAGTGGAAGTCATATCTGAACCTCTATAATATCAGGGCGTGTAGGCATTGTGTTGAGATGGACTTGTAAGTTGTAACAACTTGTTGGCAGATTTTGCAACAAGGTTGCAAGGTTGTTATATGTAAATAGCTTTTCAACAAACGCACTACGGAACACGTTACTTTGTAAGGTTTCGACTACAAACAAACTGTATCGTAAATATTAGGTTAGAATCAAAGAGATGTATTTTGTCAATGTTTAAATCATGTTTCTTCAACTTTTTAATATGTGATGTGCAGTGGACACTGATGGCGTATATGATCGAAGGTGGAGGAAGTAAGACAACGTCGAATGCTAAGAAATGGTTATATAAACACAGTGAAGCTACATCATTGTTATTACAGAAACTGACAAATGTTATTGTTGATTATCTTGTCGCACAAGTGCGGGCTGGCGCACAGGTATACTGTCTAGTATATATAACTTATTAAAGCATTAGAAAATAAGTAGTCGAAAGAACACGAGAGATAAACTTGTAAGTGACTTCCCTTATATAATTCCATATAACGACTTTGAACGAGTAACTAAATTGTTACCTTTTTATAAACGTCATGAATATGCCTAATATGGCTGCAACCTAAATTTCGCAAAATACGACACGCCAGCCATTGCGCGAAGCATTAATCAAGCGTTTTGCCTGTATGCTCTTTGATTGTTTTTTCAAACTTTCCCAATGAAAAAAATATACTCAGTTAAAAATAACATGTCACACTTATATTATTTAGATGCTCCAAGTATTTGAATCATGCGCAGAATGTCTCAGTCCTTACTTATTTACACTTTATGCTTTTCCTCATCTCGAGGAAATCGCTGTCAGAGTGAAACAACGTCTTGGAAAAGATGCAGTGCCAATGGTAAGTCGCTGTGCATGGACAAGACAAGACAAGACAATTTATTGCTCCGTAATAATCACACAATTACATTTTTGGTTTTACATTATTCCTTTTTTTTCTATTAATGTTACTTATTTATTTAATTAATATAAAGGAGCTGACACCCCAAAATAACCATAAGGCTAAAAGACTGGGGGCCAAGTAGCACAATTAATCAATAATTGTAAGATTGATCTTACAATAATTACGATTTTTTAAAGCATAAAGAAAAATGAGAAATGTAAAGAAAAGACAATCATTTTTAGGAATAAAGAAAAAATTAATACTGATTAATTTTCTCTTAAGTTGTAAAAATGTCATCTGTTTATCAGCTTCACTCAGCACATTCCATGCTTTCACTCCCTGATATCTAATATTAAATAATCCAAAATTTGTTCTTATTTTCGGCAAAGAAAAACAAAGATTTGATGAAAGTCCAGTATTATATGAATGTATTTGATAGACAGGAGTAAAGAGATCATTTAAACTCGAGGGCAAAAGTTGTCGATGATATTTGTACATAAACATGGTCATACGTAATGTAATGAGATGGGTAAACTTTAAGATTTGGAGGCGCTTAAAAAAAGGACTTGAGTGTTCATCAAAGCGAGAAAAGGTGATAACACGCATGGCTTTCTTTTGAAGTATAATAAGTGGTTTAAGTGTGGTTGAATATGTGTTACCCCAAATTATCAATGCATAGATCAAAAATGGGTATATTATTGCATAATACAGATTAACTAAAATCTTAATATTTAGAAAATGTCTAAGTTTAGAAAGAATGCCAATTCCTCTTTTGATCTTTCTTGCAATATGATCCACCTGATATTTCCAGGATAGGTGGGAATCAATAAAAACTCCTAGATATTTTATATAATCAACTTTTTTGAGATATCTGCCATTAATACTAAGACTTACATCTATTTCAATTTTCTTTTGATGAGGATGAAAAATAACAAAATTTGATTTTTCGATGTTAAGGGACAACTTATTAGCACACAGCCAGACATTGATATTGACCAACTCTTGATTAATATTCGATTCCAGATCTAATAGATCTTCGTTTTCATAGAATAAATTGGAATCATCAGCAAAGTGATGAAAATCAAATAATTCTGAGCATTTATAAAAATCATTAATATATAATAGAAATAAAAGAGGCCCCAAAACAGATCCTTGAGGTATACCACAATTTATGTCATTAAGATTAGATGATATATTATTCATGGATACAAAATGTTTCCTACCAGTAAGGTAAGAGGCAAACCAGTCATTAGCAATTCCCCTGATACCATACTTTTCTAACTTATTTATTAGAATTCCATGATGCACAGTATCAAAGGCTTTACTATAAAAGTCCAGAAATATTCCACAAGAATAGTTCCTATTTTCAATAGCCTTTTGAATTTTATCAATGATAGTCAGGATAGCATGCTCAGTCGAGTTCTGTGAGCGGAATCCGAATTGTTTGTCATAGAGTATATTTTTCTTTTGGAGATAAGCAATAAGCCTATTATACATAAGTTTCTCTAATAATTTGTTGAAGACAGAGAGAAGTGAAATTGGTCTATAGTTATTCAAGTTAGTATGGTCCCCCTTTTTGAATACTGGTAAGACTCTAGCTAGTTTGAAGTTTTCAGGGACTATATATATACCAATTGAAAAAGAGGTGTTAAACAAAATTTCCAGGGGTTTAGCTATGACATTTTGAAGAAGCTTTAACACTTTTATAGGTACATTACATGGTCCTCCTGCCTTGCTAGTTTTTAGAGCCATAATTTCTCTTTCAATTTCGTATGAAGTGGTAGGGTATATGTAAAAACTATCGGAAGTTTGACTATCAATATATTCCAATGGTGATTTAGAGACATTGGGAATATCACTGGCAAGTTTATCACCAATTTCTGCAAAATATTTGCTAAAAGCTTCTGTAATTTTTTGTGTTTCAGTAATTTCTTGCCCATTATTTATAATCTTTGTCGGAATTGCACTAGAAGTTGGAGCTTTCATGTATATTATTTGTCTGATTCCCTTCCATACCAGTTTGGAGTCATTCAAATGATTATTGAAATAGTTGTTATAATAATTGTTTTTACTCATTCTCACTAAATGATTTATTTTATTTCTATGTTTCTTAAATCTTGAATAAAACTTTTGCGATTTAGTTCTTACTGTCGTTCCAATTGAAGTGTTGCTCAAATATTGATTCAATACATTACCTCGGGCTGACCAATTCATTTCATCAAGTTCCTCGAGATATTCATACACTTCCTAGTATAATTGTAAACTTCTTGTTGAATAGTTTGAATGCACCAATCACCTTTATTGTTTGTGCAACTAACCAATCATAAATAGAAAGGAAGTGACCAGAAATGATCAAATACTTGGAATTGGCTCTTTCACAGGAAGTGTATGAATATCTCGAGGAACTTGATGAAATGAATTGGTCAGCCCGAGGTAATGTATTGAATCAATATTTGAGCAACACTTCAATTGGAACGACAGTAAATATTTTTTGTAATACATATTCTTTATGTGGATAGATTTCCTAATACCAGGAGTTATACCCACGGTTTAGACTGAACGTTCTTTCCTTGATAATACCTTAATAGGAATATTCTTATCTATAAATATAATAGAAGAAATTTCGCTATAAAAGGAATCAAACATATTCGATGGGTCAGCACCATGACTATAAGAAAAAGGTTTTGCCAGTTAATTGCCTCAACTTGATTTATCAAATCAGTTTCATTATATTTGGAATAGTCTCTTTTATATATCTTGATATGAGAAGTTAGACATGAAAATTTATTGATAATAAGAAAATTAGGTAAGTGGTCAGTAACATCATATACTATATTGCCACTAATTGTGAAGTGCTCTAGGAAATTACAGAAGATATGAAGAATGTGCGGCTGAAAGAAATGGGTTCCTAGATTGTTCATGAATTCGTCAGTGCCAGCATGAGATTCAAATTTAAGAAGATCCAAATTAAAATCGCCCATTACTATGCGCTGTTTATTTTGTCTATGAATTTTATCTATAGGAGAGTTTAAATAATTTTGAAAACTGTCCAAGTCACCATTAGGATGTCTAAAGACTAATCCACATGTCATATTTTGTTTATTATTTCCTTCTATTTCTATCCAAATTGCCTCAAATTTGTCCTTCGATGCAGTCAAGTCATTCCTTATTCTAAATTTTAAATTATCTTTAATGAAAAACCCAACTCCTCCACTGTTAGAATAACTTGGTTGAGAGATAAATTTATAGCCAGGTAAGTTGCAATTTATAATTGGGTCTTGATTAAATTTTAATTTGATTTCAGTAAGTCCGATCACCGAAAATTCAGCATCTAATTCATTAAGCATATTATGAAAATTATCAAAAATTTTAGCCAAACTTCTAATGTTACAATTAAGTAAAGAGAACGAATTGCGTTCACTGATACAATGAATTATTTATTGGTTGTCATGGAATTCATGCGAGCTGTAATAATTAAAATTAATATCATTTGGCATGTGATGTTCAACGTCAGATCTCGTGAGATGTGGTACATTTGTTGGTGAAGTGCTTATGTCTAATCTAGGGAACAAACAATGCTCTTTACTCCTGCTATCGACATTTATAGTCACACCACATTTTGAACAAGACATGCACTAACAATTTATAGCAGGGAATAAAACAATGAATGATACTAATGAATCAAACAAACAAACAAACAAACAAACAAACAAACAAAAAGACAAAGACTTATTAATATGCAATAACTGGAACAGAACCTTCAGAGACAAGCAATCGAGTTTACTAGGCTATCAATAAAGCACCAGCCTAGGGTCTTTTAAATAATCACACAAAACGTATAGAAACTAACGAAAACTAGAATTTATATGAGTAAATTCAGCTAAAGTACTCCAATACGGTTAACTTCATAGAAGAAGACAAATTAACCCGTCTACAGTTTGCTTAAATCTTTAGGAGATTCAACAATTATTTTTCTTTGATCGTTTCTCAACGCAATAATCCTACCGTCTAAAGTCCATGGGGATGAGACATTTGAATGATTATTTACTGTTGAATATAGTTCCATTCTCTTCCTTGTCAGACTTTCTGTTACGCCCAAGCCAGACCCTTTAAGTCTCCGCTTTCGACGAAAGACTTCGCTTCTTACATTGTACGATACAAATTTTAAAATAATTGGACGAGGCTTCGGTCTTGTTTGTGATATATTTCATGGCTTGAGTACTTGAGAAAATATGAGAAAACGTTGGTGGATAACTAGAACATGATCTTTTCACTCTGGTAACTGGAACATGATCTATTTAAGTCGTAATACAATAAGTGATTCCAGCTATAGCCTAAATTTTGATCAAGGCAAGAAGAACGAAATCCGACAAAGAGCGTCTTAGGGGCTAGTCAGTTATTATTTTTTTTTTTGGGGGGGGGGAGTGGCACCGGAGAGAAAAGGGTTGGGTAAACAAAATCTTGAGTAAGTAAAAGGTTGGGTAAATGAAAAACAAAACCACTCAAGGGTTGGGTAATAAAAAAATATTGTCATTTCCAAAGCATGACTCAGTGAAATATTGGAGACTAAAAAGCATATGTAAATACAATATGTGAATCAATCAGAGTCACTATCTTTCATGGTGGCCGCACATTTTGCCGAAAGACACTTTGCCGAAAGACATTTTGCCGAATGGACATTTTGCCGAACGAACATTTTACCGGACAGTTTGCCGAAAATAGAGATATCTTCTGAACTTTATAGGTTCGCTCACACGGTCAAAATTTCTGTAATTAAAGTCATTGTCGATTTTGATGACAGAAACTTTGATAGTAAAGTATGGTTTCGTTTTATATTCTTTCAAGTTTTTGACAAGTTTACCGAAATTTCGCGATATAAAGAATAACATCATTCAACATCATTGATGAATGCGATTTTCCCGAAAACTGCATGTGAATGTATTCCATGATTCTCGAAGTGAAATTCGCTTACGTCGTTGTCTTTGTATACGCTTGTTTGTTGCGACCTGACGTCAAAACACGTTCCTAACAAATGAGTCATCCACTGCACAAACAAGCTACCAATAGTCAATATGGTTATGTCTGCTAATGACCATTATGCACTGCTAAAGACCGTATAATGGTTATTTAATATACACAATGGTTGAGAATTACAAAATTGAAAAATGAGGCACAGTCCCAAACCTTTTGACGAAATAGCATCTCTATTTTCGGCAAGTTGTCCTTTCGGCAAACTGTCCGTTCGGCAAAATATCCGTTCGGCAAAACGTCCGTTCGGCAGAACGTCCTTTCGGCAAAACGTCCGTTCGGCAAAATGTTTTTCGGGAAAATGTCTTTCGGCAAAATGTCCAGGTACCTCTTTCATTTCCCGATTTGTTGGGAGACAAATGGTGTCTCCAAAGAAACTATATGTGTTTCAGACAATATGAAACTTTAGACGGCAGAACATTTCACAAGCCGTTATCAAACTCATGTCACAGAACTATAGAAGTGGTAAAGGACATGGTGACAACCGGATGGTATCCTTTTGTAAAGTTTTTGGCCTTGAATGGGTATTTATTTTTTAATTGATATTTGAGGTGGTACTCAAATTTTTGACTTTTTAATGGTTGGGTCGGTGAAATTTTTCCCACGAAAAACATTTCTCTTCGGTACCATGCCCCCATAAATAATGACCGGTCCCTTAGAATGAGTAAAACTGCAAAGATTGGTTGCTAAATGTTGTAAAATGAAAATATAGCCCTGTGGGGTTTGTATATATTAATTTTGTATTACGCGCGGTAAAAATAACCACTTTCGACTCAAAAATGGTTATTTTTCCCGCGCGTAATGCAAATATATTACAAAATTTGCGAACTTCACATGGCTATATTTCCTCATTTTACAACAATTCGCAACCAAACTTACCCATTTTAAGATGCTCTTTCCAGCTATGGTAATGGATTTCGTTCTTCTTATCTTGATCAAAATTCCGTCTATAGCTGGAATCATCCATTAAGGTGCAGTTTGTTTAAAATTACAACAAAAAATATTTCGAAGACGCCATGTTTACATAATGTGGTCCCACCAAGGCGGGATATTAGGTGGGATAAAAACAGTGATGAACACAGTCATCCCACTCAGGCGAGCTTCCGGGCCAGCAAACTAGGCTCATACGAACCTTAAATGTTCATATTTTGATTTACAATTCTCCTTATCTCGGCAGGTGATATTTGCAAAGGGAGCGAGTTATGCCATACGAGAACTTTCACAAAGCAGTTATGACGTCATTGGATTAGACTGGACCGTTCCTGTAGAGGATGCGAGGTATGAGAAACGATTGTCCGTCTGGACGAACTGGGCAAATAAAGATGAATCATCTGATAATTCGTCTATGGGTAAATGCGGGCAAACAGACAGATCATTTAATTTGATGAAATACCCTGATAGTTTGTCTTGACGGATGATTCGTCAGTTTGTCCGCGTTTACAAACAGATTAGTTATCTTTTCGTTACCCAAGTTCGTCCAGACGGATCATCCGATGTTGTGTTTATACTATAGACGATGGATGATGCATCTTGATGGATGATCCGTCCCATATCCATGCATGCCACACGAAAGAGGCACTATAAGTATATTGTGCTATTATTTTATGTTATTCGCACTTATTCCTATAGTTTTAACTATTTTATTTTTTTTTAACTATATTGCATATTTGTTTTCTGTCCTTTAGATTACAAGCGCCCAACTGCGTTTTGCAAGGCAACCTTGACCCTTGTGGATTGTACGCCAGCAAGGTACTGTGTTTTACCAGAACAGAGTCCTTTGCCAGTTGATAGTTTCTGCAGATATGTAATTTGAATAGACCAATTGCGAAACTTAGTGGCCGCGCCTTCATACTGCACGAGAACGAGGCTTATTATGCAAAAACAAAACAATTTCTATAATTTTACATAGCGAAAAGTGAATTTTAGGGTTTTTAAGTGTTTTTTCTTGAATCTCTTTGATCTTTTCTTAATATTTCGTGCTAGGTTATATAAATATTTGTTAAATTTATCTAAACACCGATTTCCCACTATATTTTTACCCGCTTTGGAGAGATATTTCGTTGTTGTTTTTGCATGCGATGAAACAAACATATGGAAAAGATCAATCTAGACTTTAAAATCTGATCAAGATGCAAATAAAATAGCCAGTATAACTTAATAAACTAAAATATACTCTTTCTACCCAGATTTTTTTAGACTTCGTGCGAGAAAAAAAGATTTTGTCAAAGGATAATAACATAAAATTTCTACAAATTTTGCCCGACATTTACTTTCATATTTTTAAAGTTAAAATCGAAAACTTGCTATTATATTACAACTGAAACAAAATTAATCAATGTTACAACTTATTCTTTGAAAAGTATTAATAAAACAGACGGAAAATACCCGATTCTTTCTCTGGTATAATCTGCTTCTTTTATCGGACGGCGGAAAACAGCAAAACTTTGCCTCGCACGCCGCAAAAAAACAATGAAATTTGAAGTAAGACTAAATCTACGAACAAGTTTAATAAAGATTTACATAGTCAAAACAAAAATATTGAAAAAAAATGAAGAGATTACCATAAAAACGCGTCTCAAACACTGAAATTCATTTTTCGCCATATAAAAATATAGCAGAATGATTTGTTTTTGCATAATAAGCCTCGTTTTCGTGCAGTTGAAGGCGCGGTCACTAAGTTTCGCAATTGGTCTATTATTCCGAAAAATAAGACTTAGCGCACCTTATTACAGTTTAGTCCATGATGTTCAATTCATGTTATAACCTGCCTGTTTGACATAAATAATTACGACCTTCAAATATCGATAAATCGATATTTATCAATGAATCGATGTTTTTTACTTTTCAACTAATGTGTGTGCCGTTTGACTTATAGATCGTATTGAAGATAACTTTACGAATGAAAACTCGTACCAGTTGGTCCAATTTAAATCGAATTATGAAAATTCTTCTACTTTTAAAGTGCCTATGACACGAAATTTCACCCCAAATGTTTATGATTGCATTGTAAAGATCACTTAAAATGACTTGCCAGGCCTAAAAAAGAGTATTAAATTCGGTATGTTCTGTTCGTGTTCTTGGATGGACACAAACCGCTGGGTAATTCATGTAAGTCTAACATAATGGCTTCATGAGTAATGACTAATGTGCGTATTTGTATAGCCCCAGCGAGTTAACGCTCCGTAGAGCGTCTTGTTATATTGTAAATGGTTTTGGTAAAATCCAGAATTACTCAGATCTTCGTTTACAGACGCTATAAAATTTAACATAATGTCATGAGAAGGATATTGAAGATTACTGGAGTATCAAATTTAAACTGTTGACTCTCGAAATATATATATAGCTAACTTGATCTTTTAAAATTATCGTCAACTGAGGTTTCTAATGAATTAAAATGCGCTATAACTGGACTTTCACAAATTTCATTCTGTTTCTGCAGACTTCTTACCCGTATACCAGTGCCACTGTCTGGCACGAGTTAATCCTGCAGCACGCAGGATCTTGTTTCTTTTATAGAATTTTGGTAACTTGCTTCCTTTGCAAGATATTCAACTTTGTTTCATATGCAAATATCACCGGTGTGACGTCACATCGCATAACGACATTTTGAAAACGCAATATTTTACCTTGATAAAATATTTTTACAAATAAATACAGAGGGTTAATTACCAGTTATGAAATTAATACATATACAAGGGCAATTTTTAAGTTTTTTACATTCGTATTCGTCAAGAAAACTATACTTTTCTGAAAACTCATTATGTAATGTGATGTCACACCGGTGATATTTGCATATGAAACAAAGTTGAATATCTTGAAAAGGAAGCAAGTTACCAAAATTCTATAAAAGAAATTATTAAGTCATTTTAAGTGATCTTTACAACACGACCATAAACATTTGGGGTGAAATTTCGTGTCATGGGCACTTTAATGATACCGACCAAATTCGATATTTCAGTATATCCATATTTTAAAAAAAGGGAATATCGAGTGACCGATATTTAAAAATAGCGGTAATTATTGATATTGTTTCGTTAGGCACTCAAGACGTAACAATTGCATGATTATTAAAACATTACGTAATTATATCATGTAATTGTTACGTCCTGAGTGCCTAACGAAACAGATATACCATGCAATATACCGCAACAACGTACATTAGCTGGAAAAAGATTTATTTAAAGTTCAAGGTTTTTCGTGAGGAACTTAACCTACTGATTTCCAGACGAAGAGCCTTTGGTTACTTCATTTCTTCCACTTAACTATTTATAGTTGATGGTAAAAGTGACAATATTTGTCTTACTGTATGTCGTTTTCTTATTTTCCCCATGAAGGACGATCTGATTAGAGCAACAAAAAGTATGGTTCGTTCATTTGGCACCAAGAAATACATTGCGAACCTTGGTCATGGTATATATCCAGATATGGACCCTGAACAAGTGAAAATATTTATCGATACAATTCATTCTTATTCAGAATCACTAAATAATCAACAAAAAGCTTAGAAGAGATGAGAATTATTTTAGTATGGAATAATTATTTATGCAAATAATAAATTTACGTGGTGTTTCCAAAACCAAAACTGATAAAAACCTATTTTAGCTTAAATATTTTATTACTCGGAGAAAACCTCTACATATAGTTACTGCAACCCTGTTGTCGATTTGTGAGGAATTATTTTGACAATAGGCGAATTATGTCGGGGTAAGTTGCGGTCCTTTCCTACAGTGAAGCTTTCTGTCAGCTGCATTAAGAAATCAATAGAGAGAGAGAGTTTTAGATTCTAGTACGAGTAGGACTATGTGATTTGTTTTTTGCACATGCTCCCCATCTTCTTATACGCCATTACGTACCCACGCCATAATCTCGTACAGTAGATCTTGTTTTACTAACGAATCTTTTCAGAAATCCTGTTGTCAATTTGGCTACAGCTGTGAGATTTATAAGACTTCAGTACATGATGCAAGAATATGGCGTGTCCTGTAGACAAACTCATAATCCAAGTGTTGTTTTGCGACAAATGTATTTCTAACTAAAAAACTTTTACAACAACAACAACAACAACAACAACAACAACAACAACAACAACAACAACAACAACAACAACAACAACAACAACAACATGTTATATGTCATGCAAATTTGAATAAATCTAAATAACCTAAATTGTCTATTGTCCTAAATTGAATATAAACCAACTAATGTCAAAAACACTATTAATTAACGACCTTAGACGTCACTGTTAATGACACTCCCACTTTTTTGACATTTTTAAATGTTAAACAATAAGTTCTAGTCCAAGAGCATATCGTGTGGCAACTAGTCGCGCTTTGAAACTATGTACTCTTCCATCAGAATCGTGCTTCGCTGTTCGACCGGGTGGCAACTGTACAAGTCTCCAGGTCTTGTTTTCCATCAGTGAATTGTATTCTGAGTCGGCAGGAGCCATCCATTCTTTCGAGTGTTGGTTTTCTTTAGCTTTGCTCATGGACGAGGATTCTTCTATCTCACATACACTGTAAGCGACATGACGTGCGGGATGTACAGGACTAGCAGTCTCTGCGTACTCATCGTATCCATATCTGACAGGTGCTTTCCGTGTTCTACCAGAAGTCCTTGGTTCTGTGGTTACCTCTTCTCCCACTTTTTCTTCTTCGAATTCCACCGTTTCTTCTTTCACGTCTTCTGTCGTTTGATCTTGAGATTTTGTCGTCATCATTTCATCCTTGTTTTCATTGAACTCGACATCCCTTCGGACGACCATCTTTCGCTTGATTTCATCGAACAAACGGTATCCTTTTGACGTACGACAATAACCAGCAAAGCGTAGTCTTTCCGCTTTCTTGTCCAATTTTTGTCGTTTGCTGTCTGGAACATGGGCGAAGGCCATACACCCAAGCACACGTAAATGACTGACGTTCGGTTTTCTTTCATACCATCGCTCGTACGGCGTTGTATTCCCTTTGATTGCTGTCGTAGGCATTCGATTTCTCACATAAACAGCCGTGGAAATGGCTTCAGCCCAGTACATCTAAGGTAATCTTGCTTGTGCGATCATCGACCGAGCAGATTCGACCAACGTTCTATTCATACGTTCAGCGACACCATTTTGCTGAGGAGAATATGGAACAGTTAATTCATGCTTAATACCTTTCGCTTTGAGATAATCTTGAAATTCTGTGGAAAGATACTCGCCACCATTATCAGTTCGCAATATTCCTATGATCTTCCAGCCTCGTTCGTTGCTGCAGCCTCAAACTCTTTGAATTTCTCCAGAACTTCTAACTTCTGCTTCGTAAAGTACACTGCACAACATCGAGAGTAATCATCAGTGAACGTCACGAAATATCTTGCTCCGCCAAATGACTCTGTTTGCATTGGACCACACACATCGCTATGTACTAGCTGTAGCTTGTGAGATGAACGAATTTCTTCCCGAGCAAGAAATGGCTTTCGATGCATTTTTCCAGCCAAACATGCTTCGCAGAACGAAAGTTTGTCAACGTTTTCACAACAAATTCCTTTCACAATATTATTCTTAATGCAGCTATTTAGTTGCTCGTGTACGTGTCCCAACCGTTGTTGCCAAAGATCACTACTTTCCTGTGAAGCTAACTAGCGTGTCCGTTTGAGGCGTCTTCGCAATCCAACTTGTATAACTTGTTGGCTAATGATCCCATTCCTCGTAGTCTCCCACTGGCAGCTCTTATCCAGCATTTATCACCACGAAACTTCACCACGTTACCTTTCGCAACGGCAGCTCGAACGGAAAACAGGTTAGAGGTAAGCTTTGGAACATACAACACATTACACAGTACACCTCGCTTCGACTTGCTCCCAGAGAACAACATATCCATATGCACGTTACCAGATCCCAACGCTTGTACAACACGACCACCTCCCAAGGCAACGCTTTCGGGTTCCCCAAACTGTTGATAATTCACCAGAACACTTTTTCCTTCGTCATATGACTTGAAGCTCCAGAATCGATCAACCAATGACAATCAGAAAGCTTTGCTTTTCCCTCGGACACTGTAAATACACAAGCACCACTTTCAGATTCACTATCAGAGTTTTGGGACTTTCCGACTTTTGCTCCATGTCTTGATTTATGCACTGGCTTTGTATATCTCGCTTTTTCCTGAGGGCAATTTCGACGAATATGGCCAACAGTTCCACACTTAAAACACGTCCGACTTTCCTGAAAACTTTTCTTTCGGTTTCCCATTAAGGCAGACTCATTCTTAACTGACTCGTTCTTAGGTCCTTGCTTGGAGAGCTTGTTGAACGAAGTCCATTTTCACATCATCAACTCTGGCTTCTAAGGCGGTTACAAGAGTGGCATAACTTCTCGGCAAACTTCCTAATAAAGTCACAACTTGATCCTCTTCAGAGATAGGTGCACCGATAGCTGCCAATTTATCCGCGATGTCCTTCATGTGTTTCAAATGTTTCTCCATAGAAGTTCCTTCTTTCATCTCCGTTCGGAAATACTTTTTCTTTAAAAACAGTTTGTTCGCTAACGTATCTCGCTCAAAATGATTCTTTAGTGCATCCCACGCTTGCTTCGGATTTTCACATGAGCTAACCAAATATAACTGAGCTGATTTAATTGCTAAAACAATTGTTGAGAACGCCCTTTGCGCTTTCGAACGAAATTGTGCCGCCGTTTCTCCCGAAGCTGACCCTGCTAACTCTTCCGAACCGTCTACGAAACCCCACAGCCCTTTCGCCAACAGCAAATGCTTCATTTGAAACTTCCAAGTACTCCAATTGCTCCCGTCTAACTTGTCGATTGACCATTTTTCCTCCATTAGTCGTCAACAGACCAGCACGAGTTATTATTACAAGCGTTATTTGTTCAGCAAACTGAAGTTCTATCGAACAAGTACGATCGTACTACAGGGTGTATCATAAAAAACGGAGTCCTCGCTTCAAATATAAATTTCGAAACGAATATTAGAGTAAAACGTTCAGGTTTACATTTGTTTTAAAGCGTAGACATTCAGCTTTCCAACGATGGGTTGTTTCGTAAATTTAATCCAGTACGTGAATAATAGTATTTTAAGTGATTGCGATTGGGGGGTCAAAAATTTGAGATGCAATAACAAATCGGTACTTGATGAAAATAACTTATTTTGTCAACAAAACGTGCAAATTGAGGCATTTTGGCAATAGCTTGTAAAAACTAAGTAATAAAGGCTTCCAATACACTATTTTAAATTCACTTGCTGACTTCAAATGCGTTTATATTCCCAGCTGAAGCGTGTTTTAGCTTGCCGTCAACTTGCTAATTTATGTTTACATTGCGCCCGATTCGATGGCGTTAGTTCGGACGATGCATGGACATAAGATTGTTTTGATGATTTCTGGAAATAACTTAGGATTTTGAAATAAATAAACCAACCTAATCTCTTTTAGAATGTTTTTAACAAGTTTTCACTAGTTTTTCTGATGTGGCAACAAGAACATTAAAGTTTGAACAAGAAAATTCAAACATTGTAACCGACTATGGAATATCATAGTAAATTTGTATGATTAAGCGGCATCTAAAAATTATAGGTTTTACTAAATTTTCTCCTGTGCAGTTATTACTTGCACTAAAGACACGGATGACCATTTGTTCGAAAGATAAATGAGCAGGCCTTAAAATAAGCCTAAAACCGTTTTATTAAATATAGCAGGCCAATAGTTATTAAGTACAAAAGATGGACTCCGTTTTTTATGATACACCCTAGCTGTATAGTGGACCAGGAACTGCGTGACCCACTTTCGATCTTGCATGTGCAAGTCGTTAAATGTTCAAAACCTTCGAGATTTAACTTGATAAACAAATAACTAGACACTTTAGTCTCAAAATTGCATGGCAGCGTAGACTGAGTTCGCTAAATGTTTTGCTTTAATTTGGTCATGCAAGATAAACTTTATCCGAGCAAAAAATGTGTCTAGTCATGCCGTTTATAAATGAGTGTAAATCTGGACAAAGCATATAGATAACTAAATGCGCAGTTTTCAAAAGTAACTATATACTCGTGTTGGAATTAGATAAGTTAAATGTCCCACAGTATTAAGACTAAACATGCCGTGTCTAAATTTAACTTTTGCCGTAACAAATTTTGCCGTGCCGTGCGTGCCATTGCAAAATATTGCAGCTACAGTCGCGTGTATACGTGCCGTGTAAACGGGACTTAAGTTAAGGTAACAAATTATCTGAATTGTTGCTATAGTATAGGTTAATGCAGTCATTTCGCTTGGTAATGGCTTCATAACTGCATGCTTGTGCTAAAAACAAATTGACATGTCTTTGTTTTTATGGTTCGCGATTTTCTGGCTATGCATGCCTATGAATATTATATGATAGCCAGATAGGAGTATAGTACTCCTCTGCGCTTTGAGAAACTAAGCCAGCGTGTTAAATTAGCAACTTAAGTTGTCTACCGAATGCATTAGAACTGTCAAAATCTTATCTTTTTGCTGATGACACTAGTATATATTATTCAAATTCGGATATCAAGCAACTTGAATTTGTTTTGAACAGTGAACTTCGAAAGCTGGATATCTGAATGAAGTCAAATAAATTGTCTGTGAACATCAGTAAAATAAACTATATCATTTTTCGGCCGAGACAAAAGAAAATTAATTTAAATCTAGTTATCCAATATAACAATCAAATGATCACCCAAAAACAATACATAAAATTTTTAGGAGTATATATAGACGAACATTTGTCATGGAAGGAACATATTAATTATATTTGCAATAAAATCGCCAAGTCTGTTGGAATTATTTACCGATCACGATATCTACTGTCATCCGCAACAAGATTATCCTTGTACTACACACTTATATATCCCTATCTTACTTATTGTAATATTGTATGGTCTTCCACTTATGTAACCAACCTCAATAGAATTCTCCTTTTACAAAAACGAGCTGTACGTATTCTTACAAATTCCGAATACCGTGCACACTCTGATCCACTTTTTAAACAACTCAAAATATTGGATATATTTAAGCTAAATACATTTCACATTGGCAAGTTTATGTTTTTATATCATCATTGCATGTTGCCAACATGCTTTGATAATCTGTTTACAATAAACAATCAAATACATGGTTATAACACCAGATCTGCCGGTAACTATAGATCTCATGCTTGTCGAACTAATATTAAGCAGTTCACCATCTTATACTCAGGACCGAATATTTGGAATTCTTTACCTACAAATATAACTGCGATAAACACAATCTCGTCTTTCAAGATGCAACTTCGTAATTTTCTGCTTAACGAATAAGGAACAGCTAACTCTGATCAATATGCTACGACCATGTTTATCGAATATTCAGTAACAATATATAAAATTATTGGAAAATCTATTATATATTTTCGTAAATTTTCTCTCTTATTATAAACTTCATTATGTTTCAATTTCATTATATGTGTCTGTAATGTAATTTCAATTTTATATTATATATGTCTGTAACCCTAAATTATACCGATTAATTAAATATTTAACTTTGAATTTTTGAGATGAGGTGGCCTCTTTACACAAGCTCTAAGCTTCTTGAGGTCTCCTTGCCGACTTTATTTTATTAATATCTTGTAAATAGCTAACAGTCTTTCTTTTGTTTTGGCAAATAAATCAATCAATCTATCTATCTATAGAAAATAATATATAGACCGCATTTCCAGGTGTGAAATTGACAACTTTTTGAACAAAATGTTCTATTAATTTGGGCCTGTTTAAGGCCATTTTCCATTGCAGTCGCTTTGCCCGCGCAGGTGGAGCGGGCTTTGAAAATCTGCTCACACGGGCGTGACGGGCGTAAAAAACAATGAACGCTTCGTACGCGCGGGCAAAGCATATGTTAACGGAGAACGGCCTTTACACGACACCAGATAAATTGTTATCCTGACAACTATTTGTTCTGATTGTTGTGCCGGATAAATACTTGTCCACCATTACCTGTAATTGGCTTCACATTTACACGTTACCGTATCACTTTTCCAAGATGCAATGTACAAATATTCCGTTTTGAGTTTACACGGTACTAGGTAGTGTCTCGATTTTAGTATCTCGGTTGAAAGGGACTTTTCCAACCTGTAACATGCCAAAATTCACTGGTGTAACAATAACCTAATATATACCGTAAATATTAATAGGCCGTTTATAGGAAAATTCACGGCCAAGTTTCAGAAGCCATTTGATAAATAACAGGCAACATTTAAGCAAGGTTGAAATCTAGTAAACAATAAAATAATAAATACAAAACAATTTCCAAAGTATAATTTAATTAAATTACAAAATAATCCAACACAAAGCTTCACAAATTACATATCAAAATGTTTGCAACGACAAGATAAACACGAATATAAGATACAATATACAAGTTACATGTACAAAGGACGAACCACGGATGAGGAAACAGCGGACAAACCGAGTATAATTAATAATTAATTATGTCAAAACAATCGATGTATATATATTTCAGCGTTAAGGTTTTGCGGCAGAATATTTAATTACTAGATTCAACCATAGACAATCAAAGGAATGGAGTTGAAACGCAGGCTAAATTGCTAATAATGTTGCTGACACGACATCCGTGACATGGCCTAAATACACTTTATTTGGAACCCTGTAACTCCACTTTAAATATTGACTTTTTAAGCTCATTTTAGGTGTAACAAAGCTAAAAACCACCATTGAATTCTTGCATTCTTTTTAACTACATAATTAACATAAATATCACCATTGTTGTTATTGAAAAATTTTTACAAAGAAATTTAATGGTGATTTTTGGCTTCGTTATTACTAATGAGTTTGTGTATGAGTATAGTTGGGCTATACTTATGGTTCGCGATGAAGTTCAGAAGTTCATTTCATATGAAAATTCACAAGCCGGTTTGTAAACAAAGTGCCTGATTGGTTCCTGAAATAATAGAAACCAATCAAATGCTTATAGTTTACAAACCAGTTTGTGAATAATATTATGAACTTCTGAAGTTCGGAACATTTTTGTCAATAGTTATGTGAAATTATTTTAATTTGAAATTAACTTAATTTGACGTTTTGGTAAAGTGTAGGGTTCATTTATCGACATAGCAATTGTTCAAAGTACTTTCAGGGAAAAGGTAAAATTATATGGAAAATCTTTGTTTACATTTCATTTTGCTCAACCAATATATTAACTTAAGTGATCAAATCATAGCCAATTGGAACTGTTTAATTCTTGTCACACATAATATATAACATTAGATAATGCGTACTGGAAATTAGTTAATTTCACAATATGCCAGGCTAAGTTTCAGCCCAGTTTAACTGAGGTTATACAAATACAGCATCATGCTTACTGCATGGGCAATAAATTGGTTTTCCCATTGATTTACCATGAAGCTGTTAATCTTTGAAAAGGAGAGGTGTTTAGCTTGTTTGTATGAAGAATTGGATCTAAAAATAAAACTTTCTGAGCTTCGGTTAAATTGAAAGCGGAAATTGAAGAACTTTTGCCATAATCATTTTGGTTTTTATATGAAGATGTTCCATTAGCAGCTAAGCAGGAGTTAACTCTTTCATTGGATCATTGTGTTAAAAGCAACGATGGATCAGATGAAGCTTTATATAAACTATATATTAGAAAAAAATTAGAAAAAGCAAAACATATGAAACTGACAAAGAATTGCAAACAATTCGAAGCAATTACACACCAAGAATAATTTGCCTTCACGTTTCACAGAGGAAGAGATATCGAAGCAACAATTATCATTTATAGACCTGGAGCGAGGGGGATTCGGCGAAATATTACCCAAAGTGATGATATTTCCAGAGGGGCTTTGCCCCGAGGGAAATATCATCACTGAGGGTAATATTTCGCCGAATCCCCGGAGCGGAAGGTCTATAAATGATATATTATACCGAAAATTAAAAGCCTCCAAGTTGAGAATTAAAAACTTGACACATACCTTCGTGAATACGATGTTTTATTTTCGGATTAACGCAAGTGTCGTCGCTTTTCTTTCGAATCACATATCGTTTGGAATATTAATGACAAAGCCCCAGGTTTTAGGTTTGAAAAAGCCCCGGGTTTTAGGTTTAAAATTGAATTATTCATCATTAATACTATTTATGTTTTGTCGGCCATCTTGTTGTCATGCGTGTTGTCCCGTGTGGTGTACGCGAATAATGTTCCACCCCATGTTCCCCGGGGAACATGGGGTGGAACATTGTCAAAAGGAACGCAGGCTCGCTAATTGATGACGTAAGGCGTGATATCGCGATTAATTTCATGCTCACGTGGCACAAACTAAGCTTCCTGATTGGACAATTTCAATTTGAGGTATAATATTGCTGGTTAGAACATGCGAGGCAGAAACATTGGAATTTTAAAGTGGAACAACTACGTGATTTAAGACAAGGCCAGACATTAGTAAATCCTAATTAGTCGGAATCATAGATACAGATTGGACTTTTCAAAAGGTGGAGCTTTTAAAACTAAGAGCTTCAGAATTAAAAGTTAAACAAGAGAAAATTTATAGGGCGGTGCATGCCGAGCAAATTAATCAAAGAAAATCGAGTGAAGATTTGCTGTCGCCTTCTTGGAATATTGAGAAAAATGTAGAATTGGTGTCCAAGTGTCTTCCTATGGTGCAGTCAGAGGATACTAAACTTCATAAATTAAAAATCGAAACCAAAATCAAAGAAAATGAAAAGGCTCAAATCGAAAAACAAATACATGACTACTTAGCCGATTTAAAAAGGGTGTGTGACTCTATATAAAGCTATTAATGCACCTATCATTTGTTTCCACCACCCCTGGGAGGGCGGGCAGACCCAGGGAGGGTCCACAATGGGTTTTTTGGGATGCGGGAATTAGGTTGTTTTTTGATCGGGAAGCGGGATATTAAAAAAATATGATGCGAGATTCGGGAATAAAATTTCTTGCGGGATGCGGGATTTTCGCAATTTGTGCCTCGGGATTCGAGATATGAAATCTTTGTAAGACGGGATACGGGATTTAAAACACGTTCTTTGACAAAAAAAAAATACTCCATTCACGTCTAATTATTGCATTTTGAAATTTGGCGATATTACCGGAAGTGACCATCCCTGTCCATAATAGAATATAAGGAGGGATTTTATACATGGATCCAGCATCATATTGTGTGAGTGCCGTGGTCTAAGAAAGAGAGTACAGTTGAATGTTTTGCTGGAAACCGTGGCAAAACTGGAAACCGAGACGGCGTTGTGAGCGCGACAGAGTTTTATCATCCCATAGGATTTTGTGTTCAGTTTAGTCATGTTTACGTTTGCCAGGCCTTAAAATATAGGTCGGTCACGGACATTGTCCGACCCATTCGTGAAATTGTCCGACGTAGAAAGGAAACCACCGGACATTCTGTCCGACCTAAGTGAAACTGAGGTTTATTGTTTGTCCGACCCGAGTGAATTGGTTCCGACCGAACTGTAGCTTTGTCCAACGTAAATCAAAATGTACCCTAGCCCAGGACTAGAGGCTTGTGTGTTAAATGGAAAATCAGTGTACTATTGTATAAAAAGTCAACTGGAAATGTTGTTTTAACGTAGTCGAGCACGGGTTTTGATACTGCTGTTCTGGAAAGCAAGTTAATTTTGGCTTGGAAATAAGTATGAAAGAAACAAATTATTTAATATTTTTACAACATTTACCGTTTATTCATTTGTGTCATTCAGACTTATTTCCGAGTCAAAACTGAACTGAAGGTCATCGGACATATGTCCGACCCAAACTCAACGTCACCGGACGTTTTGTCAGACGGCCCTGGAAAAGATATTTTAAGGCCTGCGTTTGCGATGCGCACACAGCTGCATCAAAGTCGTCACAACCCTTCAAAGGACAGCAGATTTTCTAACGGCGATCGGTAAAATCTATGCAGCGTTTTCTGTCCATGAGAAGCACCATGCTTTTACAACATTGGGCGAATCCTTAGATCATTTGCGTGAGAACGAGATACCGAGTTCGGCTACAAGTCTCTAATCCTTCTTAGCTGCATGGCATTGGATGTGGAGAATTTCCATTCAGTGGTGCATCCCAAGGCCCCTTTGTGGACCGTTTGTGCACCAATATGCCAAGAATTTTGGGAATGCTGTTAAGGAAAGCCTAAAGCGAACCAATCACTGGGCAGCTTTCTACTATACGAATCTCAAATCCTGGTACCCAGTTCCTGAAAGAGCGTCACGCCTAGCAGCAATTCCACTTACGGAGGTACAGCAGTCGACCACCATTTCTCTTCAAGACGCCCAAACTATGAAAGAATGGGCAGACGCGTATGGAGCATCTGTGCGATAACGCACCGTGAGGCAGGAGACCACAATGTGCAGGGTAGGGGCACTCCCAGATGGCCTGTACCAACGTCAAGTGGAACCAGGGAAGCCTGTCATAATTGACAGCCTCGGGAAGGATTCAGAGGCAGAAAACCAGGAAGAGAGAGTCGACGAAGAGGAGAAAATTGGAGGCGTAAAAGTTAATGAGTACGATACAAGAAGCGATGAAGTCCAAGAAGAGATCGAAGAGGAGCGTTGAACTTTGGAGTTAGAGGCCAATTTTCTTCTCGGAATTGCTGTCTCTCGATTTGGAAGGGTTATCAGATTTAATAATCGACTTGTGTTTTAAGATGTATCCATGCATGCATTTTCAAAGTATATTTTTAGTTTGCTTTCCCGTGCAACGTCATGAATTTTCGCGATAAAACTGACACTTTCGTCGTCATAGGTTACTAAGTTGCAAGGCGGGATCGGGATTCCTCGAAAAACGCGTCGGGATATCGGGAATTTTAGAAAAAATACATCGGGATATCGGGATTGGGGTAGCCTATTGTGGACCCTCACCCAGGGGCATTTGACATTTTGAATTTTTTTCTGTCAAATTCCCCACCCACAAGTTGGATTTAGTTGTCAAATACCCCTACCATGGGGGAACAATTTAAATCTACATTAATGCGTTTATTAAGTGTACCTTTTATTGTATTAAAGCGTATAACAATTTAAATAGTAGGTTTCACAATAACTTAAATTATCCAGTGAAAGTTAAATTTCCCATCTGTTTTCAGCGAAACAACGCCTGGCATCCTACTGAATACATTTATGAACATAGAACACAAAAATATGTAGGATATCACAGAACAGCATAAAGAAGTTGCTTTTCATAAACTATAATGAAATACATAAATATCAATGTTTGCAAATCGAGCAAAACCATGTTGGTAATGCATTATCTTCAACTCCAACACATATTGTATGAAACCAATTTCTGCAACTATCTGCATAAGATTTAACAAGTGCTCACTTGAATTAATGGACAATCTATTTTGAACTAATAACCATCCGTTCTGCAGAACACCTTCATAGTATTATTATATGTTTTGCTCAGCCATTTTGGGCAATTTTGCCTTAACTTACCAAAAGCAAGTAAAATAGAACGTTTAAATACAGCCTATATAAATTTGGTTTTATAATCACTTTGAAAGCATGCACATATTTTAATACATTATAGAACAAATCACGGTTAATAGAAGGAGACTGGTTTGGCTAGCCGGTGAACATCAAAGTAAGGCGGCAAATATGTTAAGGATCAAAGAAAAAAATATCACGTGACCAGATGAGTGCATGGCCTTTGTGTGGGCTTTATTAATTTAATATGCTTCAATTTGAAATTTGATATACTTCCTTCTCAAAAATCGAACGAAAGGCCGCTTGACAAACCGAAATCAGAAGATATGGAACCCGACTCACATGAGGAGAAAACTGAGGGGGAATTGTTTCAATCCCAAGCGATAAATGTTGATTTTGAAAGTGAAAAAGAAGCAGAGGAGTTGGGAATTGATAGCGTGCTTGACACAGATGAAAGTTTGCTTGTTGACGACGTCTACAAGCTTGATATTAGTGTATTTATAGCCGAAACAGAAACACCAGAAGCGGATGATGTATTCGACGATGCTTTGTTTGAAATGGAAGGCAAGAAATCATTTAATTGTAACATTTTTTCGAAGGTTTGCAAATCGAAAGGAGGGCTGACAAGACACCAGAATTCAAAGCATGCTGAAACAACGAAAGGTCGCGATAATATTCCAGGTTTAGCACTTGATCAAAACGCGGTAGATGGTTTTGTCGAAGCAATTAAATCTCGGATCATTGAAGAAAATCTTTACGCGCAGGAAACAAACTCAGGATTGAAAAAAGTAACTTCAACGCCGAAATTATACCAAGCTTTGCTGCCTATTTATCAGACATTTTGTCGAAAGAAAAATCAAGACACTTTGTTAAAAGTATTTTATGGTTTAATTCCACAATCATGTGAATTATTAAATTGTAATGACTTCCAGGTTGCCAACTTAATCATGATTCAACTTCCAGACTTTTTAGTTGGACATTACAACACGGTCATTCAGCATCAGAAACATGGCGAAAGCAGTACTGGGATTACTTGTGACAAGCCATCTGAATTAAATTCAGCAGAATGTGGCCCACTTGCTTATATTGGTGGCTACATCATAAGTAAACTTACTCAGATAAATAAGAAGAGGGGAAATATAAATGAACAAATCCAAGCTTTATTGCAAACAGGACCAGCAAATTCCTTTATTGCCAATAGAACAAGAGGTGGTCTTACCTTGCCATCTGGTGATCTAATAAATATTTTGGAAGCTGCCGAATTAGCATTTCGGGATGAGATAAACAGGAGTGAAGAGATTATTCGAAATATTCCTACTGACACTATTTACAATGCGGTTGTCGAAAACCCAAAAGTCAAATCGTTATGGGAAAATATTGTTATGTCACGCAGTATTCAACCATCTTCAACAACACAGAAATTGTGCTTAGAAAATGTATTGAAACTCTTCTTGAAAGTTCAATCTTTTTCTTATGCCAAGGATTACATTTCAAAGTACCAAATTAAAGAAAAGCAAGGGAAAAACAAAGCACTGAGAAATGAATTAAAAAGGAAGACATAACATAGCATCTCTATACATGACAGTTTATGTGGAACAATTATCTGTAACCTTTGAGGGCTGACAAGACACCAGAATTCAAAGCATGCTGAAACAACGAAAGGTCGCGATAATATTCCAGGTTTAGCACTTGATCAAAACGCGGTAGATGGTTTTGTCGAAGCAATTAAATCTCGGATCATTGAAGAAAATCTTTACGCGCAGGAGACAAACTCAGGATTGAAAAAAGTAACTTCAATGCCGAAATTATACCAAGCTTTGCTGCCTATTTATCAGACATTTTGTCGAAAGAAAAATCAAGACACTTTGTTAAAAGTATTTTATGGTTTAATTCCACAATCATGTGAATTATTAAATTGTAATGACTTCCAGGTTGCCAACTTAATCATGATTCAACTTCCAGACTTTTTAGTTGGACATTACAACACGGTCATTCAGCATCAGAAACATGGCGAAAGCAGTACTGGGATTACTTGTGACAAGCCATCTGAATTAAATTCAGCAGAATGTGGCCCACTTGCTTATATTGGTGGCTACATCATAAGTAAACTTACTCAGATAAATAAGAAGAGGGGAAATATAAATGAACAAATCCAAGCTTTATTGCAAACAGGACCAGCAAATTCCTTTATTGCCAATAGAACAAGAGGTGGTCTTACCTTGCCATCTGGTGATCTAATAAATATTTTGGAAGCTGCCGAATTAGCATTTCGGGATGAGATAAACAGGAGTGAAGAGATTATTCGAAATATTCCTACTGACACTATTTACAATGCGGTTGTCGAAAACCCAAAAGTCAAATCGTTATGGGAAAATATTGTTATGTCACGCAGTATTCAACCATCTTCAACAACACCGAAATTGTGCTTAGAAAATGTATTGAAACTCTTCTTGAAAGTTCAATCTTTTTCTTATGCCAAGGATTACATTTCAAAGTACCAAATTAAAGAAAAGCAAGGGAAAAACAAAGCACTGAGAAATGAATTAAAAAGGAAGACATAACATAGCATCTCTATACATGACAGTTTATGTGGAACAATTATCTGTAACCTTTGAAACTACAATGAACCCTACTTTGTTATTTTACTCATTTTAATGCCAGAGTATCTTTTACTCGCTAGTCAATTCATAATGCTAAAGAACTTTGTTATTTTACTCATTTTAATGCCAGAGTATCTTTTACTCGCTAGTCAATTCATAATGCTAAAGATAATATGCTTGAATTAGACAGAGTAACCAGATAGCCTGATCGATGAACCATTTAAGTAGTAAATTTGTCTGGCAATAGAAAGAGTAAAATAATAAAGTAGGGCTCATGAAGGCACATTGCCACTCAAAGGGTTAAAGAGGCCATTTGGCTTTCTGTGGGCATAGGTGTGTAAGTTTGTACAAAAAACACCGAATATTTCTCACCTACCATATTATTCCTGTAAATTTCATCCATAGTTCAATTATTACATTATTACGGTAACAGTAATAATTACATTATTGATGCAACAATTAAATTAATCAACACTCCCATATTTATACTAGCTTTTTCAATGTAGCACAATTAACAAATTAATTAATGATATCCAGATTAGAGTCAATATCAATTTAGTTCTAATGTGACACAATAGTACAGTTTTTTACACAACATTCTGCTGTTGGCATAGATGTCCAACTATTTATTTAAAATTCGAGCATCCACTCGACACATTTCCCGTTGCTGTACTATATGCTTTAGACCTTTAGCACTAGCATTTTCTCACCATTCTGAATATGATTACTCTTAACTAAATTTTGGTGATAAAATATTGTAAATCCTCCATTAATCCTGCTGGGGACTATTAACATTTCAGGGCCTGGTGCCGATTGGGCACTTTATTGAAAGTAGAGGGCTTAATTGAGGATATTACATAATTATGCACATTATTCAAATGTATGAGCTCTCCTTATATATGAGCTGTCAACTTATAATTATGTCCTATAAGGTTTATTGGGTCGTTCCAGAAAAGATCCACACTCCCCCCACGGAGGAAATTTCTGCCATCCGGAGGGGAAGGGGAGGCAAAATTGTTTATGATAATAGTAAATGTATTAGGACATCCGAAGGGGGTAGGGGGGTTAACTTCCAATTTCCTCTGTGAGGGTTGTATGGATGTTTTGTGGAATGACCCATTGGCTTGTTTTGTAATAGAGTGCAAAGTTTAAAAATTAATTTTGTGCATATAGTTTCAATTTACATGGCAATCTAAAAATTCACAATGTTATGACTGGCAGCCGTTTATGCATCTGTACACCAATCCTGGGCAAACTGAACATTTTATAGAAGATAGTATGAAAACTAGTCCAAATAAGTGCATAATTGTTACGGTGATGTAACTTGGAAAAAAAATTGCTGTGAATTTCAACTCTATTGCAAGATAATCACCAGGAATGCAATAACTTGGACTAGCTTTGTGTGTTGTTTTATCAAATGTCTAATTGTCAGTACCGGTACTTTTCTTTTTCTTTGAACGTTTTTTAACTGGTTCGTCACTCACTTCTTGCCACTTCCTTACCTCATACCGACCTCCAACATTGCCCCTGATAACTGGGGCAATATCCCTCTGAGCAGCAATGGTCAAATCATTGTACCCAAACTCTCGAGCAGTGGGGTTGTCCGACCTTCCTCCTTTCGCTCTCTGGTGACCAAAATAGTCTTCCAATACATCCTGCATGAAACGCTCTGTCAAGACATATTGAAATCCCTCCTTTAAAAGAAACTGTATAGCTTCAACATGTGCATTGACAGATATCTGCAGACCTTCATATGTTTGGGGAGACAGAAACATTTTCCCTCTTTCATCAAGTGAAAACAGTCCTGGACGATGCAAGGTACTCTCCTTCCAGTCTTGAAGGTATTTCAGGAAAACGTCCTTTAACCATGCGAGCCTTTCGTCATCACAGGAGGAATAGGGTTTGATCATCATATTCCTCTTGCGGGTATATTCAGTGGTAGATCGCACATTAGTACAGTCAAAAAAGTCATTGAGCATCTGACAGAACATTGCTGTACCAAGCACTTCTTCATTATCACTTTCACGTAGGGTGATTGCCACAGACCTGCTCAGAACTTGAGTTGCCAATTTGACATTCATCTTACTATACGATGTAAGCACAATGTGATCCAGTGTGAGTTTTGGAAGGGCATGCAATCCAAATTCCTGGTCACTATAGTAAAGATCAGCAATATGGCGAAACAACAAGTACTGTCCATCATTCCACATATAACGACTGTGAGATCCAGACCCAGAATTGTATAAACAGTTGCGAGCTGTTTTTATAAGATGGGGTGAATCAGGAAAAAAGAAGATGAATCTTGTCATCGCAAAGACATTACGTGTCTTATAAATGACACTTGGTGTTGGATTTCCAGCCAGGTTGACATGGAGGTTGAAAAATTTCCTGTTTGGGGAAGCACCATCGTTGACAGCTGCAACAACCTTCAGATTCAAAGAAACTTCCAGAACAGAAACAATTTTCCAGAAAATTGGCATCAATTGATATGACGTCAAACTTCCTGTAATAAAATTACATTACATTACATAAGAGCTGATGTGGTTACATGTAGTTGTGCACTGAATAGAGTTTTTTGCTATCCAGCTGAACACTGAATATGGTGGAAACTGAAAATTAATCAGGCTGAATAACAGATATTTTTCAAATAAGGTCTGGGCCTCATTTAAGGTTAAAATAATAAGAGGTATTTATGAAGGTATTCATAAATAATGAAGGTATTTATAATATTTTGACTTGAAATAATAGGAAACAATTACTTTCCTGTATAATATTGGTAAACATGCAAATATCAGTTGCAAAAGCTATGCTCACAAATTCCAAAGATGAAATCTGCATTTACAAACAAGCATGAAAATCTTGAAGTTATTGCCAGCCTTTCTATGACCATTTCAAGTAAAATTATGATAAACACCCCTACTTTTTTAACCCTTTCTTTTAACCTGACAATTGTTTACCTGTGAAATAGTATCCAACTATATGTTTCATATCTGTACACAGTCCTCGAGCAAGGAAGGCCAGAGCATGTGTGGCAACAGTGTCATCCTCTTGGAGATTGGAATAGTTCGTCATTGGGTCTCCAAGGTCAATGAAGCCAACCAAATCACCAGAATTCTTGTCGAAAACCAGGTTGGATTGGATTTTCATCTCGTCCATGATGATGGCAACATATCGTTGAATTTCAGAAAATGCTGATGTTTTCTCTCTCAGAGTCTCAATATTCTCCTTATTAATCCCAGCTTTTGGCTTGAAGTAATTCTTGTAGTCCCTGAGTACACGTTCACTCGGCAAAATTAACGCACCACTTTCTCTCACCTCCCTATAAGCAGAGGCAGACTTGGAATGTAGGGAAAGGGCAAAACGAATGACTTGTGGATGATATCGTCTTCCAAGCTTGTTTGATTTTAGAAGTTTAACTTGTTGCTCCCAGAAAAACTTCATATGTGGAGTAGCATCCAGGTTTTGGCCACTCATAATTTGCAGGATATCCTTATCTAGTGCTTCATCAAGATGTATACCATCAGCTTCAATTTTCCTTTCAAGCATTTGAAGTCTCTCTTCTAACTGCTTACAATGCAGCCGGTCACTTATTACAGTAGCTCGAAGTTTTGCAGGCCCACATGCTGCAAGGGGTGCCTTGTCTTTTGCTGGGGCTTCTGATGCTCTTGACTTCCTTCTGCTTGCTTTCTTGATCGCCATGTTTGCAGTCCCACATGGCTTGCACTGCTGTTCTTCTAAAGTAGTACCAATCAATTCACAGTCCACTGACCGTAGTACAACTGAAGTCTCTATGTGGGTCTGCTCAGATGTTATGGATTTGGGAATAGAGTGGCGTAAAACAGTACCAGATGTTGTTACTTTTGAAGTAGGATCTACAACAACTGACAACACATCAAAATCATCTGGTAAACCCTGACACAATGAGGACTCTTCAATAATATTTACCAGTTCACACATGGAATGATACATTACTGAACGTTTTAGTTCCTTATAAATAGGATGATCCTCTTTGATTGGCCAATTATATACGGCGACGGTGAACTCCAGAGAGGAATGAATTAGCACAGTATACTTAGGCAGGCTATGTAGATCATCATAGAGTTCTAGTTTAACACCATTATCAGGAGAATTATCTAATTTCCAGGAAGGAATGCTATCTTGCACCTGCTGAATAACACTTTCCAAGCTTGGTGTTTTTACAACTTTGCTAGGAGTTTCTTCCGGTGAGTGGCTACTAGTTGGTAAATCCTCATTTCGTCTTAATAATACCCGTCGCTCTGGTTTCACAACATCAAACCTTCTCATCGGTAGATTTTCACTAGGAACACTTCCAGAAATTAAAGTCTTCCTTTTAGGGTCTAAAATGAACATTATACAAGCAAATAAATAAAAAAAACTGAACCGTAATATACGTCTTTAACACGACAATATATGATCTGAGACTTCTTTATAGTAGGCTTATAGCTGCAGGGGTCCTAGGAACACGGCATTGACATGTTATACAATAAACATATGTTAATTTATTAAAAATTCAAATACCGCATGAACGCGAATTTATAATGATGATACTTACGAATATTAAAGCATTCTGGTTTGAAATGGAGCTCGCAGAGGTGAATGTTGTTGGCATCGATTTGTTGTTTGAGTTCGGGCGTCATTTCTCTGGTCCTCAGGATTAATGCGATCCATTCTTGACGAGCCTTTGTCTTGAAAGCTTTTGTGTGGTCACTATCGGCTGCGCACACTACAGGGATCTTGAAAAGCGAAATTTTGCTTTTCCTACTAGTGTAACAACCGTAAAACGCACAATTCGACCCAGGCATTGTTGCGATTACATTTTCGACTCGCAAAATCAAAACAAAAAACAAAATTATGCCGAAAATAACCGCCTTTCTGGATGTAAATTTATAGTATACACTATGGCTTCGACTAGTGGCATGCACTCATCTGGTCACGTGACT